CTTTCTTTCTTTCTCTTTCTTTCTTTCTTTCTCTTTCTTTCTTTAATGTTTTCTGGGTTTTTTCTACTTTTTGTCTTTGTTTTCCTTCTTTCATTTCACATCTATTTTACCTTTTTTCTTTCTTTCTTTGAATGTATGTCTTATTATCTATGTAAAATCTTTTCATAAAGACTATTTTAAAAAAAACGCTTCATCTTTTCCCACCCACCCAACACCCGCGTCTACCCCAGAAGGCAACACACACGGTTCTCTCAAATGATTTTTGCTTTATGCGCCCATCTTATGCTTCTCCCCCACCCACCTACCTCGTTCAGCCAGGACAGTCGGTCGCTCATATCTGTGTTTGATGCAACTTCGTCTCCAGCAATTTGGGGCCGCAGCCCTGAGCATGGGAGACGGCGGGAGCTCCGATGAGGCCCGAGCAGGACGTGTTTTGGGGGATCCTGCCTGAAGGCAACTAACGGCACGGATGGGAAGTGAAAGCAAAAGCTTGATCAGACTTTGCTCAAAGGACACCAACGGCAGCATGTGTTTCCTTTAAATTCCTAAGTGACGGGAGACGTCCCACTTCTTGCTATTTGTCTCGCTGAAAAGAGCAAGAAGCCAGAAATGCAGAAGAGTTTGCCTTTCGTGCCTCGCTCAGGACTCTCTCCTCTTCTCGGTAACCTTCTGTGAGAAGCACCGAAATGAATGAACCTTGGAGGAGGCCAATGGGGGAACCAGACCCTACTTTCATGTTCTTTCCTTATTTTATTTTTTCAGGGCTAGGCCTGGCAGACCTCAACAGGCCCCTTTGATGTTTCTCACGCAGGGCCAAACCCTTGCCGAAGCACCCTGAGCTGGACACCTGGGGGAACTGCTTTTTGGGGGGAAAGTGGCATCTTCTTCTTGACGTGACCGACACCCATCGAAAACAAGAGCCAGTCGTTGCAATGAGGGAGTCATGGTGCTTCAGGTGAGAACTCTGGGTTGGATCGTTCAATGATCCTTGGTTTGGTTTGGTTTGATCCTTGGTTAGACGTCCACATTAGGAGTTTTCTCCAACACCAAAGTTCAAAAGCATCAACATCTATCTTCTACTCTTCAAAGTCCAACTTTCACTTCCACAGACTGTCACAGAGACAACCATTGGCTGCACGATTCTGACCTTGGTAGGTATAGGGCAGTGTTTCTCAACCTTGGGAACTTGAAGATGTGTGGACTTCAACACCCAGAATTCCCCCAGCCAGCCATGCTGGCTGGGGAATTCTGGGTGTTGAAGTCCACACATCTTCAAGTTCCCAAGGTTGAGAAACCCTGGTATAAAGGGATATCAGTAAATCAGTGGAAAAGGAAATAGATGGCAAATATGTTGTATCATGGGTTAAATACTAAATGGAATCAAAATACATTTAATATAAACCAAACCCCCTTAACAACTTCAGGCAGTTCTCAAGATGCAAAGCAAGAGAGGAAGCCAAACAGCTGAAACAGAGGCTTTAAAGGCCCTGGTGCCTAGTTCAAAATTGCAAAATTAACCCCTGGAATTCACTGCCACTTGGATGGGTTTAAAAGCTGATTAGACCATTTCACAGAGGAGAAGACTATCGTAAACATGATCATGGCTGCAGGTTTCCTCTGAAGTAAGGTAAGGGTCATATGTAATGTCCATAACAAATCCCTTGGGTCCTATTCCAGAGGAGGAAAGAGGTCTGTTCTATAGGCACAAGCTTTTCAGAAAAAGACACACACACAATAAATACACACGCACACTTCCAATGCCACCATTTCGGTAGATCCATCTTTATTTTTGCAGTTGCAAAGTGGAATGCTCTGTTTTGTGCTTTATAAATATAATTCAGCATCGACATCCTGACAACGTTGGTCCCCAGCGCAAAGTTTTCACGTATGACTGACAAAGTTGTTGGAAGAGTTCTGAGAACGGCGAGGGCAAAGGCGGAAACCGCAGAGGGAAAATGGCATCAACCTTCCCCATCGGGAAACCCCTCGATGTCTTGGACTGCCACTCCCAGAATTCCCAGGAGGCACAGCCAAAGGAATTCTGGGAATTGTCCTCTCAGCACACCCAGAGCCCAAACACAAACCTGGCTCTCCGCTTTCCACCCAACGTTTAAAAGAAAAGAAACTGGTACGGCCTACGTTTTCCACAGCAGCCCAGGAGAGAGATCTCTGTCCTTCTACCGCAAATTAGATTTTAAATTCAGCCGTGTCTACACAATACAGAACGAGATAAATCCGCTCATCCAACACCTTGGGACTCCATAGACACAAAACCCCAACAAAAATGGAGGAATTTGAGAGATCAAAGACTTTTCTTTCCCCCGAGACAAGAAGCTGCACTCTGAGCTTAGAGGCTTGTGGTTTTGAGAAACGTGGCGACTGTTCACATCAATGAAAAAGAGTGCAAACACTCTCTTGTGAAAACAGGCTTGCCGTGAAAAGGAAACGCCAGCAGAGGGCGGTCATGAGAATAAGCATAGCGAGAACTCTGCAGATTCCCCAGGATTTTTGCTCCCTCTTTTCCATCCAATGGGCCAGAAAACCAACATTTGTGCTTTGAGATCAAATGAGTCAGACTCATGCAGCAGCGAGAATAAGGCAAAAAGGCCAGAGAAGGCACCTTGCAGAATGCATAAAGCTATTACACCAGTGTTTCTCAACCTCAGCAGCTTGAAGACGTGTAGACTTCAACTCCCAGAATTCCCCAGCCAGCCAGGCTGGCTGGGGAATTCTGGGAGTTGAAGTCCACACGTCTTCAAGATGCCGAGGTTGAGAAACACTGTATTATACATTTTGGAGAAGCCCCTGGTGATCGAGTGAGGCTAGTATGACCCAGAGCTTGGAGCAGAAAAAGAATTTTTGGTGCAACGCCTAGCCAAGTCAGGTTCCCAAGCAGGGGAAGGGGCAGAGAGTGGGTCTAGGAGACACCCTGAACTTTGGGCAAGTTTACCAGCCATCCAGCACACCCTGCTACAGAGTTTTCAACCATCCCGGAGTTGATTCGGTGGGCTGCGAAGCAAAGGAAGGAAAGCAGGAGGCATTTAAACAGCGTGGCTCAGAATGGGAAAACGCACCTGCAGAAATGAGACCAAGAGGCTGATTTGCCCTCCACAGCTTGGGGAAAAAGTTCTCCATACCAGCAAAAACCCGAAAGCTACTATTTAAGGCAGCATGACTGGCTGTGCTTCAACCCAACGTGTCTATGGCTGCCAAGTGGGACGTATACAGACACACATGCGCGCCACATTCCCAGATCAGTGCTTCGACCGCCCCCGGAAAGCTCCAGCTCCTGAAAGACAGGACGGAGCATTTGGGCTGACGTGGCCCGCACTACTCACCCCTGATCCAGACCGAGATGCCAATGTGGTCCTGCCCAAGCACTTAAGGGGATCCCACGGTGTTTGCAATGCGTCAGGCTAAGCGAATGCAAGACCCAAGCTGAAGCAAATCCCAGTTGGGACAGGGAGAGAGCAAAAGACACGGGCAGGGCCGGCCGGCCGAGACATTTAACATACTGGCACCTCTGTCCTCCCCAACCTGAACTTCCTGAGATGGGTTTCTAAGTCACTGGGGCTAGCTGGGCGCGATTCTCTTGGCTGCTGCAGGCACACGGGCACTGCCCAGCTTGGAAAAGGCACACCAAAAAATAGCTTTCCTTATTTTATTTTTTGGGCTAGGCCTGGCAGACCTCAACAGACCCCTCTGATGTTTTTCACGCAGGGCCAAACTCTCGCCAAAGGAAGGGCTTGAAGAGTTAGGCGCTCTGAGTTGGATGCCCAGGGGAGCTGTTTTTTTGGGGGGGGGAGCTGGCATCTCCTTCCTGGTATGACCGACACGCATCAAAAAACAAGAGCCGGTCGCTGAAACGAGGGAGCCGTCAAGTTGGTTTCCTTTTCGTCACCGAAGGCACTAACTGGTACGGAAATGGCTTTAAAGCAGCTGTTGTGTTTCCTGGTTAAAGTGCAAAAGATTCTTCTTTAAGTGAGGGAAGGGAAATAAAAAGGTGGGGAAGGGGCCTGTAAAAGAAAGGTGAGTGGGAAGGGAGGGGAACAGATCCCGACTCAGAGGCTCGGAGTTGCTGTCTATGAAGCTCTGCAAAGCGATGCCTGGATTGGAAATGTTTCCACCCACGTTTTGGGAGTCGGGCCTCACTTGGCCTTCTTGTCCACTGACGCTCCCTGGGACAAGGGGCCCGAGGCTCCTGTTCTCTGGAGGGGTGCATCTAAACGGGTGACCTGGAGAAGGTAAGAACAGGTGGAAAATGCTCAGGTCAGGGAAACTCTCAAACTTAACAAACCTCTAAGACTGTATATTTCAACCTTGGCGGCTTGAAGATGGGTGGGGGTGTTAATTC